GTCAGTTATGTGAAGAAGCGAGGAAAGACCAAGATGTTTCCATCCCAAGCAGCTTTCAGCAGCTTAGTGCTGCAGGCTGGAGAGCTATGGGAACAAATTCACCCACTCAACCCCTCCACCTGCCAGCCTGCTACAAACCAAGTCAGGGCAGGAATAGCACGCCTTCCAGGGGTGCCTGATATGCCAGATATTTTCAATGTCATGTAATTGTCTTGCATGAAACACAGTGGATTAAAAAATCACACAAATGTCATCATGCACAAGCCTTCATGTAACATCAAGTTTATGGTGGCAGCCTTAGGTCAAACTCTTCAAGATCCCCTCTTAAAGTGGTAAGTCATCCATGTTTGGTACTTTGGTGGAAAATGGTGACAGAGTATTAAGATTTGGAGAATGAACAGCTTATTAGCTGTGTGGTCTTGGGTAAACCCTTCAACTGTGCTCATTTATAGTGGGGGATAATAATGGGGGCTTTGAAAAGTTGTTCAAAAACGTTATAAAAGTTAAAACTTGTACTAGACATAAATAAAATGACTGCCCAATACAGTATCTGGTATACAGTAGATACCCAATAAATGTTATAATTTTGCCATTATATTTCACCAAAATGGACTCAATGCTTGCTGTGTAGTAGGCACAATGTTTGATGTTGGATCATTTCAGATGCAAAAGAAATGTGTGCCCAAGCCACTCAGGGATTTTTATATTTTTCTCCCCAACTTTTACATTAAAAAGAGACAAAGTGTATCGTTCCACTATTTTAGAGACAAAAGGCTGAAAACTACCTGTAAAAGCTAACAGACTGCTTTGAAGGAGCTCCAGTGTGCGTGTGATTTATCATTACCTGTTTTGGTAAGGGGCGTGAGAAAATAGGAAAATGCAAGGTATTTAAAGGAGAGGTGATACTTCTAAATAGGGATAAAGTAACAGAAACTGAACTTAATAAAACCTCAAGATGAATATGAAAGAGGTCACAATTTTTTGAGGGGAACTCCCTGACACTTTAGCAGAAACTCTGCCCCCTGATTTCTCTGTCAATACTCGATCTAGAAACTGAGTTATGAGAAAATTCAAGAATAAAAACTGACAACATGTCTTGTTGTATTGTCATATTACTTTGGCAAAAAGTGATAGAAACTAAACTCAAAGTCAAATTAACCTAAGCATACTAAGAATTTATTGTGTTACCAAATCCAAGGACAAAATAAACGACCAGAAAAAGAAAACTGGGGTTGTAGGAAGAGCAGACACCTGGATCCCCGCAACAGAGACCAGAGGCATGAATGTTAACCACAATTTTCTTTCCCATTTTTAACTCACCACCAAAGTTTGGCAGTAAACATGGCTACCAACAGTTTTTCAGAAAATATATTGTAGGGCTTCCTATACTAGAAATAGACCTATTCTCTTTCTCAGTGCCAGTTTCGGAAATCCCAGGGGAAGGTTCTAGCTGGCTTGGTTTGGATAGGGAGTCTATTTCTGGCCCAATCAACTTTAGTCACACAGGAAATTGGACGTGTTGAATGAAGACAATGACTGTTTCAGAGACAGGAAACAACTGGTTATCCACCCAGTAGATGTTCAGTAGAGCCATGAGTTCAAGAGCCATTTCTATCTGGGCCTTTTCTATCAGGGTCGGTAACTGCTACGTTAAACAGACAGTTTTGTCTTTCGTGTAGCTTTCTAGTGATACACATCAGTACAAAAACAAGAAACAGTTTATGAATGAATGCAGCACTTTAGAAGTTTTTAAAACAGATTCCAAGAAGAGAAAACGCATTTGTGGAAAATGTGCTTACCATTCCTCAAAGAATAACAGCATTTTGCTGGACAAAAGGAATCTAAAAATCAGAGGAGTTATACTATTGTAATTTCAGAACTTTCTCTAGCTAGATAAGTGCTAGGGTTATTTCTTCAATACATAATTTTGATGCATTTGGAAAATACATTAAGCTCGATTACATAGGATTTTTCTTTAAGCATAGGTATGAGTTAACACTATTTAGTTATTTGGATGCTGAATCATTACGTACCGAAAGGAAAAAAGAGGCAGCTTTCTCTGACTTACTGCATAAATGTATGCATCTACCACTAGAGGGCACAAATAAGGCTGTTTTCTGGGAAAAGGTTTTGAAAATGACAAAATTCCATATTTTGGAACGGTGACTGAGTTAAGATATGTAGATATGCATGTTTTCTTTAAATCTGAGAAGAAAAATCAAAACATACTCATACTTCACCATGTACCATTTTGTTCTCTTCCCTCTTCTCTCAAAAATAAAAAAGTATGCATGCACGAGGGAAATAAGAAATATCAATGGTCCATAAGAACTTAGACATAAATAAAATAATTAAAATTAAATGGTTATCAAGAAACAGAGGAACACATAAAAATACTGCTACAGCAATATGGCAAAAATGCCACAAATTATCAAAAGTATTCGTATTTGTGTACACCACACTTAGAATCTTTGAAGTGATTTTCTCCTAAATCATCAAGCACAGTACAGTTCACAAAACTGATTCCAAATCTTGCAAATATTAGATATATATTGCATCTTTTCTTAACAAATGTAGCACTGTGGTAAAAATAGGATATGATTTGGTTGCATTTTCACACAATACTGTGCTTGAGTCATGCTCGCAGAATACCTCCATCTGCAACAGCTGTTTTACTCCTTTAAAAAAAAAAAAAAGGAAAAGGAAAAAACAAAAACCCCAACTTCTCCAGAATAAGCAAACAGTCCCGAATCTTGTCACCCTTGATGTCTGACAAGTACTAATAACTATGACTAGGTTTTGATAACTCCCTTGATTTGTTTTCAGGGTTATTATTATTATTATTTTGTTGGAAAAGGGCCTTGTGAGAGCCAATGATTATATTGGAAATAAAGCCAAAACAAACTAAGTTCAAAGTCTGCTGAGATGCCTCTGAGCTAGAGAAAGGGTAGCAAGGTGAATGGCATGATTTGGTTTCCGTGAGGAGAGTGAAAATGCTGTCGCAAATTGGATAAAAGTGAAGAGTTGGTAGTTTCCATACCTTTCACATCTTGATTTTCCCCCTGATGTTTCCCATCACTAATTCACAGTAGCATCAAGAGTGTATCAAAATGTAGATTGTCTTCACTTTATTAAAATTTATCTAAAACACAAATTTTGAAGGTTATAAACAAGCAGTTAACAGATGTTCATTCAATCACTCAGCTTAGTCCCTTCCAAAGTTTCCTTTAAAAACAACATATTCTTTTATTCTTTTTTAAAAATGCTCCACTAAAATCTACACACCTTCTGCACCTTCTAGAAACGTTTTCCTCTAGTCCAATCCTTGTCCTTTCCTGCTTCAGGTTTTGTCATTTTTCTCCTGATGCCAACTTGAGATTCCACCATGGTTTATCCCCATACACGGCTGAATCCACAGAAAATGGCGATTATGACACATATATCCACTTATCCTCCCATTCATGGGCATGCATGTAGCAATACGAATCCTTTTTAAGAAACAGCTCATCTCAATCTGAGCCTGAGGGTAGAGTTTCCTCTACAAAATACTTTCATACGCTTTGTCCTCTAGAATTTCTTGATTAATGGTTTTCACAAGTATGGGGGGTTAGGTGGGCCACAAACTGCTTCCAGGTGGCAAAAGAACTATTAACCTTTCTACACAGATTAAAAAATATATATGTGTGTGTATTTATGTGTGCTATGTGCTTATGTAATACATTACATGCAAATACGTATTAGTATATATAAAACTTCCTAATTAACACCGACAAAGCCTTCAAGAGTAACACTGAGGGGTATGGTGAACATTTTGAAACTAATTATGACCTTCTACTAAAATATTGCCAATTCCTCCTCCCTGAGGAGAAAAAATACACACTTGTTTTTCATCTTGTGCATGAATAGTCTAAGAAATTGACCTATTGAGCAGAAACCAAAGGAAGTTTATATTTGCCCGGTAATTTCTGGATTTGAGAATCAGTTATTCAAGCTTTAACCCATGTTTCTACTGACTTGATAGAGTCAAATTGTCTTCAAAATTAATTTAACCCCAAAGACACTGTGTTTCAGACCTCTGTCCAAAAAAATAAATAAATAAATACACAAACAAATTAAAACTGTTGCTTCTTTTTGGTGGAGTGGATCTTCCAGAGCCTGGGGGATGTTTGTACCTCCTCTCTCTTGGCCGTCACACCTTGAGTATTTGAGTTTACAGATTTCATAGAATCACTTACGTCCTCTAAGTTATCAATGTTATTATATAGTTTCCTACAAAGTAGAAGTTGTCCAGATTATAATGAGAAATGCGCTCAAATTTTAAAGCCAAAATATTACACACCATGCATATTATTTATTTACTTATTTAGAGACAGGGTTTCTCTCCGCTGCCCCAGCTGGAATGCAGTGGTGCAATTATAGCTCACTATAGCCTTAAACTCCTGGACTCCAGTCATCCTCCAACCTCAGCCTACTGAGTAGCTGGAAATACAGGTGCACACCACTGTACCTGGCTAATTTATATATGTATGTGTGTATATATATATATATAAATTTTGTGTATATATATGTGTATATATATGTGTGTGCGTATATATATAATTTATATATATACAAAATGTGTGTGTATATATATATAATGTGTATATATATAAATATATACACACACACATGACATGAGCTACTGTATCTGGCCCACCATGCAGACTATGGTTAAAAAATAAAAAAATCCACACCAAGCATACATGACAACCTAATCTCTGAACAGTTCTACTGCTTCCATCTTCCCCATGATTTTCCTTTGAAAACTTTTGATTAGATCAAGATTTTTACACTGAACTGCTTATTCAAAAGAAATAAATGGAAGTGAAGTACATAAAAATGATTACAGTAAAATAAATGATTTACTTTATAAATAGCTATCATATATACATTTACGTCAAATTTATATTAAATGTATTATATATGATAGTTATTTATAAAGTGAATCATTGATTTAATATAAGTGTATTATATATATGATAGTTATATATAAATAAAAGAGAATAGAGTCCATACTTACACAAAAATTTGAAATAATTATAGTCTTTCTGTCATTCCTCTAGCTTATTTATGTAGTACATCTGAGTTGCAGAGAATTGGAAAAATCATGAATCATTCAAATAATTGTGAATGGTAATTTAATAGTTCGCCTTACAATATTCTACAATTGCATTGATCCAAGAGTCCAAGAGAAGACAGGAACTTGATGCCATGCCACATAAAGCTTAAGTCATCATAAGTACATGTATTTCAAATAATTTTCATCTAAAATAACATCACATAAACATAAATGTAACAAAGATTCTAAAAACATGATCTAAATCAGAAAAGGTAAATCATTTTAAAAATGAACACGTTTCTATTTATCTACCAACTTATATATTCAGTTTTAAGCAAAATGAATAAAGACTACTATGTAATTCTTTAGTAATATTTGATATATAAATTCCTACATAAACATCCCTGGATTTTGTTATGCTATTTGACTAATGTGATGGATGATATGGGTTGCCAACAAGTATTATTTTCTTTTTCAATTTTAAGAGAACCTCAATTTTGTTCAAGGTATTATGGGTAGGAGTATGAATCCTCTATTTGGAGGAGGTTGAGCCCTCGTTAGCACTTTCATGTTATTTCTAATTAAGTTATGATAATCATGGTAGTTGGGTTTTTTTTGGCAATGACTGATTTAGAAGTCAGCATGAGACTCAATTCCAGCCAATGAGCTATACAAGAAGTTCTACTAGAAAAGGAGGGTGTTTTGGACGTTGTTGGGTGACGTCTGGATCTGCTGAAGCTGTCTTGCATCCATAGGGCTGAAGTCAACATACCCATGGTGGCAGAGTGGTAAGATGGAAAAAACAGAACCTAGACGAATGCCATTGAGCTGCTGAGTTAACCAACACTAGAATTTCCCTTTCTCCAGGCTTTTAATTTATATTTAAGAACATTTTAGCTGGGTTTTCTGGTTTCTTATATTGACATATGTTAAATCACATAATCCATGCCTATTTTAAATATGCACTTTCCTTCAATGTACCAGTTACACCTGCTAATGATAGTCTTTATACTGCAAAATCACTGTAGTTGTTACGCTGCATAGCAATAGCAAAAGTGATATATATGCCTTCCCCCCAACAGCTACATTAGGTCCCCGAACCACCTCAGGAAATATCAGTAGAATAATAAAATTAACCAGTGCATTGGTTATCTTAATGCATTTAGCACAGAAATCCTCCTACAGGGAGAGAGGGTACTTAGAGAAGTATATAAACATTATTTTATTTGAGTGCAAGAGATATGAAATCCATTTACTATGAAAGAAACAAACCAGACTACATCCTTGCAAAATCATTCCTATTTATTTTTCAATAGCATTCTACTAAACTCCAAAGATTGTGCATTAGGAGAAAACAGTGAGTATATCAGAGAAGAGCAGATCCAACCTATTAGCACTCTGATAAGCAAAGCAAATTACTGAGGACAATTACCCAGGAACTTTTATATTCTGCAAGCTTTGTTCTTGTGACTCATAAAACTCTTCTTGGTTGCTTGTACAAAGTCACTTCACAATGACTGTCAGTGTCGGTGGCGGGGGGGGGAAGTTTTGTTCTATTTTACCCTTTTCAGTGTAACATGTAATTCATATGCAGTACATGTTACCTTAGATTGATGCTAGTGACTCATGGTAGGATCTTGAAGAAGTAACTAGCTGATGAAGGTCAGTGTCGATTTTGGTGACTGACAAATTATTTTGTGGGATAAGCAACAAAGTCACATTAATTTTAAGGTAAGCATTAGTATAGCATGACAATGCCATTTGCTCATGGGGTTTACAGAAATAAAAGTGGCCCCTTTTTATGTTTGACATGTGCAAGAGAACTTAAATACAGCAATATGTCATTACTTTCCTAATTCGTTCAATCAATACTTTTGAAACTGCCTTTATAACAATGTTACAGAGAAATATCATAGCTAGAAGACACTCTTTTCCATGGTCTTTGTAAGTGAGAAAATGGAAGCCTAATGAGATAAAGAAATTTACACTAGCACAGGTATTTAGTGTCAGCAACAGATCTCAATTTTGAATCTCTTAACGTGTAGGCCACCACTCTTTCAACTACACCATGATACTCAGATAATATAAAAATCCTCCAAAAAAACTGCCAGTGTTTAATTAAACCAAGAAAAAGCATGAGTTTCAAATGATAAAAAGATATATTTTTTCCAACCAGCCCTGGTGATCTGACACATTCATGAAGAGCACTAATGAGAATGAATGGTACTAAACACAGGGAAGACAATACATAAAATAACAGGGACCATGAGGGAAAACAATCAAGTCTGAAGTGCAGATGGACACTTAATGATCAATCCTTGGTTCCATTTTAGCTTCTGCCAGTGGCTGGCAGCTTATGACATCAAAAGAGTTATCTGTGATGCTCACTGATCAAAGCTCATTTAATAAATAAATAGCATCCACTAGTAACCCCACAGAATATATTATAGTACAATTTAGTGGTTATAAAGCATTTTGTTGAATTATTTTAGGCCACCCTTGGAAAAATAGTTATTGAAAATATTTATAGAAAGAACCTTACTTGTGTCTAGTCAAGACCCTTTGCTAGCAGATGGGGAAAGTCAGAATCAGACTGAAGTGACTGACCCACGGAGCCTGGAAGCAGCTGATAGGATTCAAATTCTGGTTTTCCTAACTCTTGGTCCAAATTGATTCTGTCCTGAATTTGACCAGGTAAGATTCATGGGCTTGTTACAAAAGCAGTCCAGGCCTTCTGAATATGCAGGTGTACGTGTTCATAGTGCAGGCCATTTATTCAGCATTTCCATATGCCTGACACTGGTGGAGAATGCAATGCACAGATGAATAAGACGTGCCTACTTTCCAAGAGCTTATGTGACACAAAGGAAGGCAGACAAACATATTTCATTGTCATGTGATAAATATTATGACAGTGGAGAGATACAAAAGATTACTAAAAGGACAACTTTAAAAACCACCTCTCTTGTACATATCAAAAATGTCATCAAAATGCCACTTTCTGGTACTACCCATTTAGACCTTTGAAATGCAAATATTTCAGCCAGAGTCCTTGGGGAGGAGGTGGCTGGTTTGCCTGCTTCACTAAAAGGGGAGTGGTAGGAAAGGGGCTGAAAGGACAAAAAAGCTGAACTGGAGTTAATTTACCCTCCTGTCAGTGATCTCGAGCTTGTCTCACAGGAAGGTTTCACATGCCAAAAATGGTTCTCTTGTTTAATCTTAATAGGAAAAAAGTGTGCAGGTTTTAGTTTATTCTGTATGCCAGGCCATGCTTGTAGAGAACTTCTTATGCACACACACATGATATAAGTAATAATTACTCTTCAAAATTTGGCAAATGTCCAAAATGGAGCTATTTCCCATACCTGGAAGGTATGTAATTTTTAGCAAAATCTTTATTTAATAAATCTGAATTAAAATGTTTTGCCAAGCATAGAGCCTCCAAGGCTATAATAGATAATGTGTCAACGGTCCCTGCATCGAAAATGAAAGTTTCATCCTACATGAGAAGCTGATTTATCTTCTGTGCAGTTACTCTCTAAAATCTTATCTTATATTTAAATTCAATGTAATTTGGGTGAAAAAAAGAAGTCATTTTGAAACTGCAAACTAAGAAACTGATCGAGCAATCAGAATTATTTTTGCAAAAATAATTATAAAATCACTGTAATTGTTGTATTGATTATATACAAGAATTTTTTAACCTTATTTTTTAACATGATACTTTCTTATATATTTTAATTGTCTTATAATTTGGTTCAATGCTGCCCTTTTAAAAAATGAAAAAATCATCATATCATATAGAGTGAGGCATCAAGTGTGTGTTAGGAATAGGGTTTTAAACCAAAGTTTCCTGAGGTTCAATTTACTCTGTATAAAATAGATTCCATAGCCAGGCGCGGTGGCTCACACCTATAATCCCAGCACTTTGGGAGGCTGAGCCAGGCGGATTGCCTGAGTCCAGTGATTAGCGATCAGCCTGGGCAACACGGTGAAACCCTGTCTCTAACAAAATACAAAAAATTAGCCATGCGTGGCGGCCTGCAACTGTAATCCCAGCTACTCGGGATGCTGAGGCAGGAGAATTGCTTGAACCCGGGAGGTAGAGGTTGCAGTGAGCCAAGATCACACCACTGCACTCCAGCCTGGGCAACAGGGCGAGACTCTGTCTCAAAAAATAAATTAATTAATTTAATTTAATTCATTCCATTATTTGAAAAAAAAAATCCACACTCACTGGTTATCTGGACTAGACTCTAAACTGGGAGATAGATGGTGGGCCTCTTCGTGAGCACTGACCTCTTTGTGAGCACTGAGCAGCACATGCCTGGAATATACAATGTGTGCTGCAGTGCCACACACATATACACACAAACACACTTTTATACATATTAGGATATGCATACATTGGTCAGGGAGACACAGAACACTGCAACTTTTTATTAGTAATAGCCCACATTTATCTAGTACTATGTGTTAAGCTATATGCTAAGTGCTTTACCTGCATGGGTCAAAATAGAAATATCTAAGCCAGCATGTCATTAATTAACATAATATGAATAACTAAAATAATTATTATTAAATAACTATAATTGCTTTTTATATTTATTAAAATAATTATAAATAAATGTTTGAAACACTCATTGACATAAAATGGCATCTTTTATGGCGAGTTCTAAGAAACACTAGGTTCTTTGACTGCAAACAGGTATTACTTAAAAAAAGAAATGTAAGTTTAAGGAAGGATAAGATAAAATAAATCAACAGGCCTCTGTGACATAGCCCTTCTTAAAGCCTTTACTATACAGCTACACATGGTACTCTGTAAGAGCGAGGGACTGAAGACCCTGACATCACACTCATGCAAGGACACACGACATCTTAGAGCCCATCTCCAACCTGATACACACAAAGTACACCTTGGAAAACATTAATACAAAGACTCAAAGTACAAACTCATGGAAGAGTCAGGTAGGTGGAAAATGCTCATAAAGGAGATTAGATGTGAAATTTGCTTGAAAGGAGACTTTCCACTTGACTGATGGGCGGGGAGGGGAAGCTGGAGTTGGGGGGAGTAATAGGGAAAAAGGCACAGAGCCCAGGCAGGGTGACGAAGTGGAGGGAGATCAGGCAGCAAGAGCAGTCCAGGGCAAAGCTTGGAAGCCTTGGAAGGTGAGTTAAGGAACTGGGTAATACAGGGAGCCCTACTTGGACATGCTTGTTCCTTTAAATCATCTTTTCATTCCTTTACTAGGGATAATAGACAATCGCAGGCCCCTGTTCTACAGCCTCTGCTTAGCTATGACAGCATAGTTTTTATTCAAGAGAAGCTTGTAAACAAACTTGAAGACAAAAGTCATTATATATTTATATACATGCATTAGAACCAGTCTTATTAAGATATGAACCAGGATCTTTAGGTCATGTCTTACAATGTGAGTTGAGGGGAAAATGCTAGCCTAGTTGAAGTGGAGTAAGACAGTGGAAAGAGCATTGATCAGGGAACTGAGAAATTTTTCTGGCCTCAGTTCCACTAGCTCCATGACTGCAGTCAAGTCCTTAGCATCTTTGAATCTCAACCTCACAGAGATTATCAGTAAAGGTAGAGATGTGGCTGGACGATCTAAAATCTATGAAGCCCTAAGTGTCTATGTTCTCTAGAGTGGTTTCTGTATATTTGTATTTTTAGGGTTTTTCTTTTTTTTAATAATAGCAGTAAACATTGTGACATAAAGTGGGGATATCAACCTGGCAGAGCTGATACAAGAATTTAGCATAAACGACTAACAACATAAATGTAAATTGTTCCATTATTTCTCTAAGGCATGGCCACTTTTGCAATGCGTTCTTCATGCGCCCACCATTCTCACTTACATTCTTCCAAGTTACACCTCTCACTCCATGCTTTGTGGTCGTATTTGTCCTATGATTTCTGATTCTATTTGCCTCCTTTAAACATTGCAAGCCAAGGAGTAAGAAAGTAAGGAAGGTAAGGACTAAAGGGTGAACACAGAGGTTTTTCTCATTTGAGCATTAGCCTGCTCATCTCATTCTCACACTTTTCCCTGGGATTCCTCAAAACATCTTTCTCTTCGTGTAGACCAGTGGTTCTCAATTGCAGGTGATTTTGCCTGCCAAGGAATATTTGGCCATCTGGAGACGTTTTTGGTTGTCAGCTAAAGGTCTAGGAGGTCTATTGGTATGTTGTAGATAGAGATCTGGGTGCTGCTGATCACCTTGCAAAGCATAGGACAGCCTCTACAATTAATCACCCAGCCCCAAATATCAGCAGAGCTGAGGCTGAGAAACACCCAATTGAAGTAGGCAGTTTAGCAAAGAAAAGTATGTATTGGGAATGTAAAGAAAATGGATACACTACCAGTAGATAACAGGATTATGAAGATTATGTTTTTTAAGCAGTTTTGCATTTTAAGATTTTTCAATGAACTTAGGTTACTTTTCGTTTTCTCCCCAGCTATCTGGTAGAGCAGAGGAAGAAATGCTATTGGAAAACTTTATTGTGTTTGAGGTTTTATTATAGTACAGGTCAGCAGGAGGCTAACTTCTAAGTTCTTTCTTTTATACCATAATGAGGTATATGTCATGGAGAAACTGCTGAATCCAAATGGAAGTAGCAGCTGTGCACCATGCCGATTATGTGATACTGGGGGGATCCAGCGTACTCAAAGTAAGACTGTGATGCCTGTTTCTTCTCAGCTATGCTGGGAGGCTTCCATCATCTTAGGCCTTATTTTAAAAGACCCCTCCTCCCAAAATGAGAGTACTTAACATCCATACTAATGTCAAATCTTATGCTGAGGATGAGATACCTCCAGTTCCTCTTTTTTTATTTTTTAATTTTATTTCTATTTTTATTTATTTTTTTTGAGATGGAGTTTCACTCTTGTTGTCTAGCTGGAGTGCAGTGGTGGGATCTTGGCTCACTGCAACCTCCGCCTCCTGGGTTCGAGTGATTCTCCTACCTTAGCCTCCTGAGTAGCTGGGATTACAGGAACTTGCCACCACGCCCGGCTAATTTTTTTTGTGTTTTTAGTAGAGACGGGGTTTCACCATGCTGGCCAGACTGGTCTTGAACTACTGACCTCAGGTGATCCACCCACGGCAGCCTCCCAATGTGCTGGAGTTGCAGGCATGAACCACCATGCTTAACCTCCATTTTTACCTTCAAGTAAACAGTCCATGTAAAATAATGACTCACATTAGTAGATAACACTTATATAACATTTATATTTACGTAACTCTATAGCTTGTAATAACCTAGTATGTCAAAAATGTTAGCTCAATTATTTCCCAAAACAAGATTACAAAGCGTTATTAGCCCATTTTACTGCTGAGGAAGTTTCCAGGAAGTTGATGTTCTTACAAGGCTCACAGGGCCTTCAAGCCCCTGACTCCCAAGTGGTGGTTTTTCATTCTACCCAATATGAAGCACGGATATTTATGGTATTTCATCACACCCCCACTCATGAACACAAATGCTGGTTTTCTATACCTCAAAATGAAAACAGTGGGTTTTTTTGTCAAGGCTAATTTTTTGCTATTGACAACAACCTCTCGTCATGATTTCATTAGAAATTTAAGACTTGGCAAAGCTCCTAAACATCAAAGCGAAGGCTTCACTGGCCGTATTAGTTTGCTAGGGTTCCCATAACAAAGTACCACAGATTGGGTGGCTTAAACAACAGAAATTACTTTCTCACAAATGAGAAGTTAGAGTCCAAAGATCGAGGATGATGTCTTCCGAAGCTTCTCTCCTTGGCTTGTAGATACCATTTTCTCCCTGGGTCTTCACGTGGTCTTCCCTCTGTGTGTGTGTGTGTGTCGTGATCTCTTCTCATAAGGATACAAGGCAGATTGGATTAAAGCCCATGCTGGTGACCTAATTTTGACTTAATACCTATCTCCAAATACAGCTGCATTTTGGAGTATAGGGAGTGAGGACTTCAACCTATGAATTTAGGGAGGACACAATTCATGCCATAACACCAGTGTCAGGGAATTTGTTAGAGCTCAGATCTGGGTTCCATAAGTACCTGAAACCACAATGTCCAAATAGAAAGATCTTTTTGGAGTTATGCCATGTTCTGCT